CTCTCTCTCTCTCTCTCTCTCTCGCTCTCGCTCTCTCTCGCTCTCTCTCGCTCTCGCTCTCGCTCTCTCTCGCTCTCGCTCTCTCTCTCCCCCTCGCCGCGCCGCCTCCCTCCCTCCCTTGCTCCCTCCCCTCCCCGGCACTGCAGCATTCAGCCGACTGCTGCTCCCGCCGCCGCCCGCGCCTCTTCGGCCTCCGCAGCCCCCCGCCGCCGCCAGCACCATGGCCAGCACCGTGTCCGGTAGGCGCCCGGCCCCGCGGGAGGTCTGAGCAGAGGCCATTGTCTGGCCTCGCCTGATGCTGGGGCTGACTGAAGACACTGTTTTCCCATCTCCGATCCCCGCGCACTGCGAGGGCTCAGGGCGCGACCGGGTCGAACCCGCAGGCGTCTGGGTTCGGGGCCGCGCGTTGGGACAACCCCGTGCCCTATGGACTGGGATTGAGGCTCCGGCCTGGCGGGCGTGGGCCGCCGGGCAGGGCCCGCGATCTGGGGAGCGCCCGGGGTGGGGGCGTCGGGCGCGGGGACGCACTGCCCCTTGGGGCGACGTCGTTTAGGGCCTGGAGCAACTGCGGCAGTGTGGCTCCCAGAATCCGGGCGTAGCCGGAGCCCCTGGGTGGGCTCGCTCGCAGGTGCGGACAGGGTCCCTCGAGGCGTCCAGCGTCCACAGACCCTGGTTGGACGGCGCCTTCGCGGGGGGGGCAGGGAAGAGGGTGGGAGCCTTTGTGGGAGCCCCAGCCCGGGACCCGCCGAGCGCCGGGCCCTCCCTGCGCCAATGGAGCGCCCGGGAGGGAGGGCTGCGAGAGGACGGGGAGAGGGACCTGAGCTGGGACCGAGCAGAGCGGCGCTCGCACTTCGTGTCACTGCCCCCTCCCCTCTCCGCTCCAGGCTCGGGGACCACCCTCTGCGACACGGTGCCACCCGTTCTGGTTAAAAAGAGCCACCGCCCTATGCGCATTGGGGTTTGGATGGGGGAGGGGCTGCTGCCGTTTCCAAGCCCGCCCAGGGTGGGGTGGTCTGCGCCTCCTTTCCCCGCCGCCCGACACCCAAGTTGCGAACCCACCGCCTTCGATGGCAATGATCCCCCACCTTCCTGGCCCAAGTTGGACGCGGAGCTGCGGTGGAGGGGCGGGCACAGGGTCGGGTGAGGTGGTGGACGCCGGGCAGATACTGGACGCGGGGGCACTGCCAGACGACCCCCGGAGCGAGGACGCGGGGCTTGCTTGCTCTACCCCGGAACAGTCTGCTCCTTCCAGCCGCCCCAGCACCAGCTTCATCTTTGCGCTCGGCGCCCGCACGGCAGGGGCAGGCGGCCCCCCACTTCTACCCCGTCTTCCCCTCCGCCAGGAACCGCACTCCCGCCCACCCTTCCCTCCGTCTTGGGGGCAGGTGGTCGTGGTCCGCTCGCCTTAAGCTAACCTGATTCTCTCCAGAGCTCCGCCCACCCACCTTGGTGCCCCGCCTCGACCCCGCCCCTCAGGCGCTCAGGGTTCCAGACCCCAGGTGACTTCTGCGCGGGTCTGGGAAGGGACCACGGTGCGTCACTGATACCCTTCTTCCCCAGCCAGACTGGGAGTCGTTTCCATCCGGGCTTCATCTGCCCCCTTGCCCTCTCGCTGACATTCACAAATATATTGGGACAGGCTTTGGGCAGAATGACACCCTCCTTCATCAACTGAGGGCGGTTCAGAGTGCTGCCACGTCCCTCACTGAGGGGGTCCTTGTTCACCACCTGTGCCTGAGCTGCGGGACAAGGGGCAGCCACTAGGGGGAGGCAGCCTTTTCTCTCACTCACCCTCCGTAATGAAAATCCTGGTCAATAGGCCTCATTCCGGCCACCCATCTGACAGATAAGCAGAGTGAGATTAGGTGGTGAAGAGACGCAGCCAAAGCCTTGCCTTCGATCTATCGACTATCTGGGCACAGAGCTGGGCACAGACACCCTCTGACCTCAGAACCCCCTGACACCAGCCCTCTCTTCTTTGCCCAACTTTGGGGCACTGCTGATCCACGCTTGGTCCCATGATTTTTCTGGGTGTCCGAGTTGCCCTTGGTGTCAAAAAGAAAAACATGAGTGCATTTGATTAATCTTGCCCAGCATAATGACCGCCTGGAAGACAGGCTGCAGTGTCGATGACACAGGGGCTGACCTTTCCTGTATCGGCACCAGTGCCACCCTACAGGATGCCCACCCCCAGCTTCTCCACCCATCAACGTTTGATAGCACAGTGGCTTGGCCCCGAAGTGGCCACATGAGAGTGTGGGTAATAGCGGCCAAAACCAGTTTAAGTGAACTCCAGCCACGACCTGTCTGCCCGTGCTCACTGGCGGGCTTTGTTTGGTCTTGGTGACTAAGGTGAAGAGTCAGCATCTGGTATGCTTTCATAGCCCTGCAGGACTGCCCACAGCTTTCTCTTCCTCTGTAGACTGGAAACCTTTCCCACTGCCTCCCCCTTGAGTGTCCCGGACGGGCTGAGTTCTTGGACTTACTTGGGAAGATGTGGCCACCTCTTGGTGTCCTTCTCAGGCGCTCAGATCTTCACATCCTTGCGTAGACTCTTGCTCATTCAGCACTTTATGCAACTCCATCTGCCATGAGGCCTTGCTACTACTGAATTCTCTCAGGGCCTCCCTTTCCCCCTCTGGATGGGAAAGATAGTGACAGCACCTCCCCTAGGCTTGTTCTGAGGGCTGAGCAAGCTATTTCAGGAAAGGTGCTTGGCCTGATGCCTGGCAAGAGGCGAGTGCCCAGTCCATGCCAAGCAGCGTGACTGTTGTAGCCATATTTTCCTGAGTTTCCTGCCAGCCATTTCCCCCATGCTGGGCTCCTGGCACTTTTGGAGGTGACGTTGACTAGTGAGACAGGGGCAGCTTGGGTGGCAATGAGCTCCATTTGTTGGGGAGCAGTTAGCAGCAGGCCCCAGAGCTGTCCTAGGGGTGAGTGGGCATCCGTGGGCCCCCTGCACTCCCAGTTCTGGACAGACTCCTGCCCCAATGAGACTCCGGACAGGAAAGGCAGTAGAGGCCTGGGCTCACGACCAGGCTCCCACCATGGTGTGCCACGACTCTGGGTGGGCCTCTTGCCCTCCTCGGGCCTCCTTTCCTCCTCTGCAGAAGTGAGGCTGACAAGGGTGTCTGCCCGGGCAGGCTGATCCTGAGGGCCAGCTGGGAGGATGGGCGCGGGTGTTTTTACCTGCTGCTGGAAGCTGGTCTGACGCCTCCTTCTAACGCTTGCTCATCCAGGATCCAGTTATCCAAAGGTCAATGTGCATTTTTGCATATTTAACATTTAATATGAGAAAAGGGAGATGAAAACAGTTTGGGTCACGGCAGAGATCTGTTTCTAACAACCCCTTGAAGCCAGTGGTGCAGAAGGAAGGGTCCTGGGGGGGAGGGGGGAAGGCAGGCTGTGCCTTGAGGCCCTTGGGGGCCTTCCTGGTTGAGATACATCCGTGGAGAAATGGAGTAGATGGGCCTGTGTCTCGGCCTCTTCTCTCTGCGGTGACATATGACCTTTAAGCCCCTCCAGCTCTGAAAAGATGGGCACAGCCTGCCTTACCTGCGGCTGGGCCTGTTCTCCAGCACATGCGTGGGCTTCTCCTTGCTCTTTCTCTCCACATTTGCCAATCCCCAAAGCCGGCCAGTCCCCTCGGACTTGCAGCCAGACCACTGAGCGGGCATCTCTCTCAAGCCTCCGCCCACTTGGCTTCATGAGGACGGGTTTTCCGGGAAAGAAGCTGCTCATGGGCTATCACCTGGGAGAAACCGACTCGGGGAAGCTCCGTGACCATCAGACGCTGAGCTGTGTGCCTGTTTGCAGCTGCAGGACACGGTCCCTCACTTCCCAGGTGGACACATCCCCTGGGCACAGCCGTGACCTCCCAGAGCTCTGAACTCAGTCTCCAGGCCTCGTTTGTCTCCCATCTCTACTGGCTGTGCAGTGCTGAAGTGACAGTTCCCTGGAGGGGAGCCCCCCTGGCATTTGTCCATAAACTTGTTCTTCCTCTGTAATGAATCACAGCTCCTTTTCCTGGGGAAATGTCAGGCTTAAGGCAGAGAGGAGCTTGAGCAGCTGTAAGGCCCCAGGTTCCTGGCCTGTAAGGTAAACCCATTCAGAGGTTTTGGCATGTGATAAGGAAGGACTATCTGAAAGGTCAGGCTTAGGGACTGGTGTCTGTTGCCAGGGTGGCAGGTGCTGGCAGGGTTAGACTGAGTCCCCTCCTCCCTGGCCTCTCCCAGGACCCAGGTGTGCCCCCCCCGATGCAGACCCCTCTTGCTCCCTCCCCACCTTCCCTTCTGAGCACAGGGCTGGCTACCCCTGCAGCCTCTCCGCACATCCAAGCGACTCCTGGCCTGCTGTTCCTGGTGAGCTGGCTCTGCCTGGTCTTACACCCTCTAACTCCCAGCAGAGGCACTCTCATGTACCATTCTGCCTCCTTCTTAAAATTAACTTCCAATGACACAAGTAATACATGAATAGATTCTACTTGTGAAAAAAATAAAATGGACAAGGTAGACCCAAATCCCCATTTGAGGCCCCCACCTGGTCCTCCCTACACCTCCCTTCCAGCCTCCTGAAACCAATGACTAGGATGTGTTTTTGCCCTGCTCCCCCTCCCCCCCAGAAGCCCCCAAAGGCTCTCCCTGATGCTTGCACAGGATGCCTTGGGTTCTCTCCAGAAGAGTCTGGACCACCAGGATGTTTAGATCAAATCACCTCATTCTCTGTGCAGGTGGTGGGAGGACCGATTCCCGGGAGTTGTCACCCCAGACCAGGGTCTGATAGTTTCTATCCTGTGTCCTGTTTCTACACAATGCTTTTTCTGATTGCATGTTCATTCATTTTAAAAACATGATCTTGTGTGAAATTTGATCAGGTTTCTTGTCCCTCGACACACATGTCCAAATTCTTGTCCGCCCCTTGGAAGAATGCTTTAGGTAACTCTGCATGCTTTTTCCTTCTTGGAAGCCAGATCCCTCTCCCTGCAGTGTCTGTCTCTCTGGAGACTTATACCAGCTTGTCCAGCCAGGGAGGAGGCACTTGGGTCTCTGAGCCTCCTAGTCTTTGGGACCTGCTGGAGTGGTGGAAAGAACACAGACCACTTGGGATTGTGCTGGAGGCGTTTTGGGCAAGTCACCCCAGATACCTGGGCCCAGTGGTTGAGTGAGGGTGACAGTACTGGGCGTGCAGAAGTTTTGAGTACTGATGAGACACTAAACCAACGTGTCTACTTTGGAGCCTGGTTTGCTGCAAGTAGCTCAATTATTTCCATTCTGAGACAGGGCATTTCCCCTTCCCCAGCAAGGCCCAGGGCCTCGGAAGCCAGGCCCACCTCCTTTTCTGGTTGGGCAGTGCTGCTGGGCAAGGCTGGATGGCGGGCTGTGGTGCTGAATGGACAGCTCCCTTCCCTTTGGCCCTGGATGGGCAACAAGTGTGTGTCTGCTGAGGGCCGAGTTTCATGGGGTGACAGCACTGCTATCACGGTAAACAGAAGGGGAGGAGATAGGAGGGCTGAGGGCTTCGCCCAAGTGTACAGCCCAAGACAGTGCTGCCTGCAGAGGCTCCACATCTGTGCCGGCCCAGTCATGCGGTTAATCTTGTCTGCCAAAGGGGGCGAGTGTTTATGAGAGGGGCAGGGTAGGAAGGAGGAGGGAGGAGTACGTGGGGAGAGGGGCAGGGTGTGTTAAGAGGAAGATACACAGTGACAGAGAATCACAGAGACACAAAAAGACACAAAGAGTGACAGATAGAGCCAAAAAGACAGAAGGATGGACAGAGACACAGAGTGAGGGAGAGACAGACAGAAAGAACAAAAGACAGATGGAGAAGAGTGAGACAGACAAATGCTGAGAGAAAAGGAGGGAGAGAGAGGCAGGCAGACAGACAGACAGGGGCCAAGAGAACCCTGTGGGGTGGCCCACGGGGAGAAGTGCCCCGGAAAAGAGTCAATGTGTGCTGGGGGGGGGGCGGGGAGGAGAAGGAGAGATGTGGGAGCACAGAGAGCAGGAGACCAGGCTCCCAGAGGCTGTGGGAGGGGCGATGGGGAGGCAGGCGGGGCAGAGGCAGGCGGCTGGCTGCTCACGCTGGCCTCTGCCCACAGCCTACAAGGAGAAGATGAAGGAGCTGTCCGTGCTGTCACTCATCTGCTCCTGCTTCTACTCGCAGCCGCACCCCAACACCATCTACCAGTATGGGGGTGAGTGTGTCCCACCAACGCCTTGATCCCCTCCTGTGGTCTCTCAACCCCCTGGCTTGGCTGGCTTCTGGAGAGGGGGCCTTTGGGAGGAGGGGCCAGTCTGGGGGCTCAGGCTTGGGGGTACCTCCATGAGCAGCCGCATCCCCTCACTCGGCCCTTGGTTTGGATGTGCACGGGGGACATGCCCCCAGCCTGCCCGCTCCTCGCTGGCCTTCCTGAAGCGCCCATCTGGTCTTGCCTCACAGACATGGAGGTGAAGCAGCTGGACAAAAGGGCCTCTGGCCAGAGCTTTGAGGTCATCCTCAAGTCCCCTTCCGACCTGTCACCGGAGAGTCCCGTGCTTTCTTCCCCACCCAAGAGGAAGGACACCTCCCTGGAGGAGCTGCAGAAACGGCTGGAAGCAGCTGAGGAGCGGAGGAAGGTAAGGAGGCCTGCCATCTGTCCTGATGAAGGTGGCCAGGAGAACTTGCTGGACATGGACGTGGACCCTAAGCTGCAGGGAGCTCCAAGCCCCTGCTTGGTGGTCAGCCTGGGGTGGCGAGGGTATCACGGTTCCCGGGACCTCCTCCTGAAAGATTAGAAAGGGGCAGGAAGGAGAAAGGATGCCCAATGGCAGGCAGCTGGAGGGAGACAGGAACCAAACACTGTCACGGGTGCCCTTGGCCATGGTTAGGAAGGGGTCAGGTAGTGGCCCTGGGACACGAGGCTGGGCTAGCTGGCATCCTTCTCCTGGGAAAAACATGAGAAGCAAGGGCCTCTGTGTGCTGGGGGGCTGCAAACACAGACCTGCTGGGAGCTCAGAGAACCCCTGGGAGAAGTGGGGAGGGCTCCAGGCCCCCTCCCTGCCCCCTCACCTCACGCCAGCCCCTGAGACTGAAACACACAGAAAAGGAAGTGCTCCCAGGCATGTGGTCCTGGTGCCCAAAACCACAGGACATGGGCAGTGGCTCCATCCCTCTACAGCAAGCCCCAGTGAGACCTGGGGACACAGGCTTCGCAAGGTTCACTAGTTGTGACTGGCACATGGGGGAGGGAGGGTAGCTGCCTTCTGAAGGAGGCTAATTATCCCTGGGAGCCTAGGTTCTCCTTCTGGGGCTACCAGGCAGCCCCTCCCCCTGCAGGACCCCACAGTGTGCCCCCAGCAGCCCCAGGCTCCTCCCTCCAGCTCGTGCCTTCCCCAGCAGTCCTGAGGACTTGTCCACCACCCCCAGCACCTTGGAAAGCTCAGCACCCGGTGTGCGCTAAGAACCAACTTGGTGTTCAGCGGGCAAACAAACGTTTGAGGAAGAGACGAAAGGCTCTGTGACAGCCCCGAAGTTTAGACTCCTCTGCTCCTCCAACGTTCTCTTAGAGCGCAGCGCGCAGGCTCAGCTGGCAGCCGACAGGGACAGGGGCTTCCTTGCCCCGGGGGCCCTCAGCCTAGCCGGGAGGGGCAGCTCCTCGGCGGACAGGGAGAGGGGCTGAGGAGTCTCCCGGCACCTGCGTGCCCACGCCGGGGAAGTCCAGGCAAACCAGGGCTAGGTCACCTTCGCCGACGCAGGACATTGTAGGCCGGAGCTTCTCGAGGACATGTGTCCAGAGGGCAGCCGAGCAGGGTGATGGGCACTGGGCGGGGCCGGAACGGCAGCGCAGGGGGTCCGGAATGGGAGCCCGGGGTGGAGGAGCAGGACCGGGGCGCGGGGGGTCAGGGATGGGGTCGCGGCGGCGTGGCGCTGGGCACCGGGTCCCCGGGGCCGCCGCTCACGCGCGACCGCCCGCCCGCCGCCCGCGCAGACGCAGGAGGCGCAGGTGCTGAAGCAGCTGGCCGAGCGACGCGAGCACGAGCGCGAGGTGCTGCACAAGGCGCTGGAGGAGAACAACAACTTCAGCCGCCTGGCGGAGGAGAAGCTCAACTACAAGATGGAGCTCAGCAAGGAGATCCGCGAGGCGCACCTGGCGGCGCTGCGCGAGCGGCTGCGCGAGAAGGTGCGCGCCCGGGCTGAGGAGGGGGGCGGGGCGGGCGCGGCGCTGGGGCAGCAGGGGGGCTCCCCAAACGTTTTATACTGGTCACTTCCCGCAGTGCACGCACGAAGGCCGTAACCCGGTCCTGCTGGGACACAGGCTTTCCCTTGTAACGCAAGGATAGTCGTTCCTTCTGAAGTGCGCTGAAGGAAGCGCCTCCGGGTGCGGGTGCGGGCGAGGAGAGGGGAGGAGCGGCTTTGGGTTGGGGCCCCGGGAGCCCCTTCCTTTGGCCGGTCCCTGTCCACTGCACCACCCGCGCTCTCGCAGTCCGGTAGCTCCGTCCTGCTTGGGGCCAGCCCGGGGTGAGGCAAGGCCCTGCCGCTGCGAGCGGGGCCAGCGCAGGACCCCGCCCACCCCGCCTCGTCCCCGCAGGAGCTGCACGCGGCGGAAGTGCGCAGGAACAAGGAGCAGCGAGAGGAGATGTCCGGCTAAGGGGCTCTGGACACCGCGGCGCCTGGATCCTGAGCCGAGACAAGAACACATGCGGGTTTTGGTTTTGTTTTGTTCAACTCTGTCTAGATGCGACTTTTGTTCCCTCTCCTCCTGCAGTCCCAGCTTCACGCTTCTCTTTCCGCACTCTGAGCTGTCCAGTCCTTGTGGCAGCCGCTGACCACAGGCTCTCCCTGGGGGAGCCACCAGGGCCTACGTAGCACACGGTCCCTCAGTTCAGGTACCAGGCAGGGTAGTGGCTGGGTCCCCTCTTGGTGGCCCTCTTAGCAGATGTGATGGTGACCTCAATAAATCCAGTGGTGGTGGCAGGAACACACAGGTCCTTATGCTGGGTTGTCCTGTAAGCACCGTTATCACTTACGGTACATCCTCTGAGCCAGCCCCCCCCCCCCAACACACACACACCAAGAAGCAAAGGCAGCACCGCAGGCATGTCTTCCTGTGGAGGAGGGGCTCAGCACAAGGGGGAGGGCAGAGCAAGAAAGAGTTAGAGGGAGCAAGGCCTCTGGGCAGCGTGGGGCCAGATCCCGCAGTCACAGGTAACTAGCCCTGGGCACCCTGTGTGCAGCGGAGCTTTGTGGAACTGGTGGGTGGAGACTGCAGCACCCTTTAGTGTGGCTGCCCAGGGGTCCTGAGACCACTTGGCCCGTGGTAGGCACCCTGGGCTGGCCTGGGAGCCTGCAGTCATTACTTGTGGCTGGCGTGGGATGTGGCTTGGCCTGTCTTCAGGGGAGTGGACATTCTCCACCAGGAACCCAAGAGCAGGCTGCTGTGGCCTAGACGACTGTGGGTAGCATGACGCCCCCTGCCGGCCCCTCCTTCCAGAAGTGCCCTCCTTTCAAGCGCCTCTGGCTGAGCGCCCGTGTGGAGAAAGCCCAGCTCCTGCCAGGTCTCCTCTCCTCCCTCTGCTTTGCAGACCTGTCCTTAGAGCCGTTTGGCGTCTTGGCCCCTTCCCGTGCCCACCCACGATGCTCAGGCCACTGGGCTTTCAGGCTCATCTCTGGCCAGATGTGTCAGTCACAGGTGCCCCTCAGGGACCCCCTTGCAGGCAACAGGGGGCAGGGGACAGGGTTCCCAAGCCACCTCCCCCTCCTTGGCATTCCATCCTTGGTGTTCCTGGCCCGCGGCCCCCTCTGGCCAGCCTGTGGTTTGGAGGCCTGACTCTAGGCTTCCCCTCCCTCAGCCCTGGTGAGGAATCCCTCCACATTCCCCAGGGCTGGCCTTTGAGGACTGCCACCTGCCTGGCCATGAGGGTTGTCCATTTTTTCGTGCCACTGCAGCATCCTCCCCTTCTCCATAGCAGTCCTACCCCACAGCTGGGTACTGGGGGCAGGAGCCCTGCGACCGTCCTCTTGGTGGAAACTGTGCGGGGAAAGATCACAAGTTCTTGCAGGACCCAGGACCAGCGCCTCAGAAACCCGGCGTCTGCAGCCCCCAGTGCCCCGGCTTACATCCTGCAGAAACCTCTGGGGCCCAGCCAGGGAGCACGGTGTGGTCCCCTCAGTGGGCTTAGGGAGAAGTAGGGACCCGAGACAGATGAGCCAGGAGTGGAACCCAGCAGTGCCCACATGGGGCTTTTGTGGGACTCAGAAAGGGAAGCGGAAAGGGACTGAGGGCTGTATTTGTTTTAGCCGTGGCAGCTCTCTCATAGTGGAAGCCTAGTGTAATATGCACCCATCTCATCACGTAGTGAAAGTGAACTTAAAATTAAATCAAATGAACGATTAAAGAAAAAAAACCTGTGTGTTTAAAAAAAAAGTTGCACCGTGCCAGTGAGCGTCCTGCCTCCGTGGGGGGAATGGGCTGGGAGGTCACCGCCTGGGAGTGAGTGGGGAGCGCCGGCTGTAGCTCTGAACCGAGCCGAGCTATCAAGCTTGTTTTACCACCATCGTTATGACTAGTTCTAGCGACAACAGCAATTTGAAGGCATGAATGTGTAAAGGGCACACAAGCCCACTTTCCCTTTCGGAGCCCCAGAGGACAGCAGGGCTGGGAAGGAGTCAGGGCAGCCCTGGCAGGGCTGGCCTGGGGCCGTCCCAACTCTCCCCAGGGCTGAGCCTACCTGCTGGCCAGACTGGTGCTATGGAGGAAAGATCAGGGTCTGAGTTCTGAGGCTTGCCCTCCTCATAGCAACCTCTGGGCGGTGGGTCTTGCTAAGATGTGGGGTGATCCTAGACTCCCAGGGACATGCCCCATGGCTCTGTGCCCCCTGCCCCCGCTGACAGGCAGTTCAGCAAAGCGGGTGGAATGATAGCATGGACAGATGCCTGTCCCCACACAGGGCCCTCCTCCATCTATCTGGTGCATCTCCTTCTCAGGCAGTCTCAGGTGAGGCTGTGTGGAAGTGCAGGTGGAAAAAGGCCATACAAATCACGGCTGTTTCTCTGTTTGCTGAAGAAAAGTAATTTTGCTACTGGGCAGTTATATTCATTTTCTAGGGCTGCTGTAACAAGTACCTCAAAGAGGGGGGCTTAAGACAACCGAAACTTACTCTCCCACAGTTCTGGAGGGCAGAAGTCCAAAATCAAGGTGTCGCAGAGCTGTGCCCGAAACCTGTAGGGGAGGATCCCACTTGCCTCTCCTAGCTTCACTGTTGGGAAAGGCCATCCTTCAGGGCCACTTAAGAATAGGCTGAAGAGGTGCAGGCAGGCCAACTGCCCACTGGTGTGGGGACGGCCCACTGCCGGAGTGGACCTTGTCTGTCTGCTCTGCATGAGTAAAGGTTGTCTGCTGGGTGCTCGGCTGCCTTGCGCTTTCCTTGGCGACTCCGATGCCAGGATGCGGAGGGTAGAAGAGTTTGGACCTCTGCCCCTGGTGGTTGGCACTGTGATGGTATCCACGCAGCAGTGGTCCTCCCCTGGGACTGGGAACTGGAGCCTGTGTGCAGCTGGACACTGGCAATCATCCAGTAGATGCATCACGCCGATCTCTGCCTCTGTGGTCACATGGCTGTCTTCCCCCGCCCACCGCCTCGTGTGTGTCTGTCTCCATGGGGCACCAGTCATTGGATTAGGGGCTACCCTAATCCAATATGACCTCATTTTAACTACAGTAATTACATCTGCAAGGACCCTATTTCCACATAAAGTCACATTCTGAGTTCCTGGGGGTTGGGATCTCTGGGGGACACAATTCAACCAGAAACAGCAGTTGTAGGTATATAATTCATAATGTTAAAACATTCATGCATTTATGGGCTGGCCGAGTGGCACGTTGGTTAGGAGTTGGCTTGGGACGCCAGCTCTGAGCAGCAGGACCCCGGTTCAGATCCCACATGTGGGCCAGTGACACTGCCCTCTACACCTAAGATGGTGAACAACAGCTCGACCTCAAGGTGGGCTGCCATGAGGCGCCGGTGTTGGCGTAGGCTGCAGCCCGTGCTGCAGTGGGCTGCTTTAAATCTACCGTGAGTGGCTGGCAGCCGGCGTGAGCTGCTGTGAGCCGCTGTGAGTGGCCGTCCAATGGCCGGCAAGCGATTGCCTCACCCGGGAAGAGCACAATGATGGTACCAACATGGGCCAGTGAAGGGACGTCCTCCACAACTAGACTGAAGAACAAAAGGACAACAACTTGTCTGTTCCCCTTCCCCAATCCCCCAATAAAAATCTTAAAAGAAAAATTCATGCATTTATTTGTGTCCTCAACATGAATTTAGGAGTGCTTAGTACACATGTGGGTGTCACTGTGGAGACTGGTGATGGTGTTGGAGACCAGCCCCTGCCCTGGGAGAACTTGCAGGCTGGTCAGTAACACGTTATGGGCAACAATGTTTTCAATTTTCACAATGTCCACTATGAGGAAAACAGAGTAGGCATTATTTTATTACTTGTTTTTTTTTCTTTCTGTAACACATGTTCACTGCATCATTGCAAAGTTAAAGACAGAAATCTTGACCCACCAAAGCTCTTTCCCGCTAGAGGACTTGCCCATCAGCAGTGATGTGTCAGCGTCAGGGCCTGAGAATGGTGCAACGATGTCAGCACTTTCCCATCTCTGTGTCACCCCAATGGCTGAATAATCATGTTACAGGCTACGTACTAGGACTTAAAAAAATTTTTTTAAAAGATTTTATTGGGGAATTGGGGGAGGGAACAGCGTTTGGGAATCGGGGAAGGGGCACAGACAAGT